GGAAGATGAAGATATTACTAAAAGTCATCTAATTTGAAGTCGATTCCTCCTCTCTCTTATTTGGTTATCAAACTATCTTCCTGCTACCAGGTATAGTAGATTAAAATATACTGGTCTAAAGCTGTAATATTTAACAGGCAATGCCATGTAATTAAAACCATGAGATTGGGTTAAGCAGGCAAGATTCACAGCAAAGGAAAACTCCCAAGAAAGAGAGACAAAATTTGGTCTTCTACTCTATGTCCAATGATGCATGTTTTTCTGATAGTTCACTTTACACATTCAAGCACAAGTTCTACTTAAAGCATAAACTAAACCATTTTAAGTTACAATGCTTGTATTTGGGCCTTTCCTCAGTTATAAAACCAAATGTAGAACTGGTAATAATTTATTATCACAAAGAATGCAAAAACAGGAACTTAAATATTTTTAAGATTTCTATCATGGAACAAATTGAATGGAAAAAGAATTGAAGCAAAGTGTCATTAATGGCTGTAGCTATATTCCAAACACACAGCTTTGTATTGTACAATCACGAAGTGTCGTTCTTAATTATCATGAGCCTAAATTATGCCAAATCCAACTGTATCATGTTTCATGTCTTCTACCTTCTTAAACCTACCTTTTACTACAATTTACTAGTTATTTTAAATTCTGCATTAGATTGTAAGCTCCTTGAGGGTAATTCCTACATTTAGTTATTTTTCAATGCCCTATACCATCCAGCACAGTGACACACAATTTACTTGGCCAGTAAGATGTTTGCTGTACTGAACCATGTAAACTAAAATCAATCACAACTGAAAACACCTGTAAGAGGCCTGTCACAAGGATTCTTTCCTAAAAACCTCCTTTAATATTTCAAACTGCATGTTTTATGGGTTGGTATGCTTTAATAACTGTCAGTACTAGTTTATTCCTCTCTCCCAAACTTACCAAACCAAATATATAATATCTGTAAATTTTCCTGAATGTAAATTATGCCTCAACAAAAAATATACTTTTTGTTTTAATTAGGCAAGTAAAACCTCCATTATTTAGGCTGTACAAGCAGGATAAGTAGAAGTATTAACCCATTAAGAAACATAGTTTGGTGGAAATTATTAGAAAACATTTTTTAACCCTCTAACAAGTAAAATAATACAAAAATGTGCTTAAAAAAAAAAACAACTAACCAGGATTACCCCATCATAAACCTGTATGTCTGAGATAACCAACTCTCTTAACTTTCTTTCTGACTCTACTAAATCAGGTGCTATACCATGCTGGCGATATAGCTATTATACTAGCTGAAAAACAAAGACACAAATATACCTTCTTGAAAAAATTTCCAATTTCTGTCTTTTTTTGGTCATGTGCATTTCTCTCATAAAAGAAAACCAGGATACTTGCTCCTTCTAATTCACCCAACCCCTTAGTCCAGAAATCTCCTGTGTCAGAAATGCATTTAGCATGCCCTACCCTCTTCTCAGGGCCTACAGAGGCTAGTTAATTTCCCCTACAACATTTTCCAAAATGCAATTGGCTCTAGAAAGGTCAGTCTATTTGGACTCTGGTGATTTCTGCCTAAATGCCTTTAGCTGACATGGCCAGCTTAGCTTATGTTGTTCATTACAGCAATGTCCCCTTTTAATGGCTCAGTTCACATCCTAGTTTGTCCACACTTCTACATTACTAGAAACATTCTAGTTCACACAATCCTTCCTTTTCCAACTTACAGTTTCCATGTAGGAAATGTACTAAATAAGCAAAATGAGAAAACTGAGGTTTAGAGCGACCTGCATGGGGTCACAAAGTCAACAGTGAAGGCAGTTGTCCTCTATCCTGGAACAACCTGAAGTTACAGCTGTTCTAGCTCGAATCCTCATCCAAACCCATCTCCACATGAAAATACAGTCACCCTAATCTAAACAAGGAGCTCCTCCAGGGATCTGTTTTCACATCTTCCCTGGCATCAAGGATACTCAATGACTGCCTCCAGAGAGCAAAAATTAGAACTGTCCTTTAAAACTAAACCCTCAGAAATGAATAAACAATGATTGTTATCAAGTGGAAATTCCAGCACTTATTCACCTACTAGTTGTGAACTTACCAGAGTTGACAAGATTCAGAAATAGTTTTATCTCACTCAAAGACTCCTGAAATCTGAATCAATCTATGTATTTGGTTCTATAGATTCAGTGTAGAACTCTAGGGGAATAAGTGGATTCCCATTACAAAATTGCAACCAAATTTTGCCTACTTAGCTTTATAAAAGAAATACAAGATTATAACATAGCTTGTAATTCTCCACAAGGGAAGAAATCAAATTCTATAGTATTTACAACAAAAAGCACATGTCTAAAGCTACCCATCTGCTGCACACTGTACCTTGATATGAATGTAAAAACAAGAAAAATTCTTTATATGATCTTGAAACATTTCACTTTTTGTCAGGAGAATGACATCACACCATTCAATTGCAATATGGCAATCCCATTTTCTTACAATGCCACTATTTCTTTATAATTTTTCTAGTACGAAGTCATTATAATTTACCTAAGTACACTGAAGATAATTTTTTTTTAAATGAGGAAAACAGAACACATGGAAAAGGAAGTGCTGGAAATATTCTATATCTTGATCTGGGTAGTAGTTGCAGGGATATCTATGTATCTACCTATGTACAAATTCATTGAGTAGTATGCTTAAGAGCTGTACACTTTACTGAATATAAGTTACATCTTGGAATAAGATTTATTTAAAAAGGAAAAGGAGAAGAAGAAAAAATATGAAGCCAGGAGTGAAGGTAGTATTTAAAATTCCTTAAATTTTCTATGGTTTATTATACAAATATTTGTTGAGTACTTTCCTTTACTCCACACACAGTATAAAATGTTGAGGATAAAACTATGATTAAGGCCGGGTGTGGTGGCAAATGCCTGTAATCCCAGCACTTTGGGAGGCCGAGATAGGAGGAGCACTTGAGGCCAGGAGTTCATGACCAGCCTGGGCAACATAGTGAGACCATGTCTCTACAAAAAATAAAAAAAATAGCCAGGCATGGTGGCTCATGCCTGTAGTCCCAGCTACTAGTGAAGCTGAGGCAGGTGGACTGTTTTGAGCCCAGGAGTTCAAGGCTTCAATGAGCTATGATGATGCCACTGCACTATAGCCCAGGCAACAGAGCAAGAAGATGCTGTCTCTTAAAAAAACAAACAAAAAAAATTTTTTTTTGAGACAGAGTCTTGCTCTGTGTCACCCCAGGCAGACAGAAATCAGAAACTCTTCCTTAGGGCCACAGTCTTTTATTACAAAAATAAAATAAGAAGTTTGACTGTAATTTACAGATAAATATAAGTAGAAAAACAAAATTTATTGGCTTCTATTCATTTAATCCATGTTTCTAGAATTGTCAATATTAATTGTAACGATAAGAACATAAACAAGATTTTATATATGCTTCAGGCAGCCCCAGGGTCAAAACTAAAGTTGAATTAAATCTAACTCTCATGACAGTTAATGTGTTAAAACAGTCATTGGCTTCACAGAATTAATAACCTAATAATGGAGAGAGACAAGAAATAATAATACAGTGTGTGATGAGTATTGTGATGGGTGCAAGCACAAGGACGTGGGGACACATGGTGGGGTATGCAATTCAGCTCCAGAGAGCCAGAGTTCTCAGACTGCTATTTTACCTGCATAACATCACACATGGTGAAACACATCTAACTTTTATTTTTTTAAAGTAAAAAGATCCATCGTCATTTCCTTCTCTTCTCTGTACTTGTAGAAGCAAAATTAAATTTAACTTTTTGGTCTTCATCATGAGATACACTAAAAGTCAGATCCCTCATACTGTCTCTAAAGCAATGGTCATTCACTAAAAATAAACATGAACAGAAGTTGAAATGATTTGTGCCAACTGTCTAGGAAACACGTTAGTATAAGGCACAGGGCTCTGGTGCACACGAGAGGCTCCACCGTAAGTGAACTGCCACTGTTACTTCAATCTCTCTTTAATGAAAGTTCTGCATGTGGCAACTCATAGAAAATAGAACTTCACTTAATGTTTAAATTTACCTCTCCCCTATTCAAAACAGAATTCTTCAAATGCTTAGTGTATAATATAAATTATTTAGAAAAATTGTTTGTTCAAAAGAAAATAAATTAAAACAAATAAATTAAATATGAAGGGAAAACTGGTAAAGATAAGGAGGACTGATAAAAAAAAAAGAACTAAGCGAGGCCGGGCGCGGTGGCTCACGCCTGTAATCCTAGCTCTCTGGGAGGCCGAGGCGGGCGGATTGCTTGAGGTCAGGAGTTCGAAACCAGCCTGAGCAAGAGCGAGACCCCGTCTCTACTATAAATAGAAAGAAATTAATTGACCAACTAATATATACAAAAAATTAGCCGGGCATGGTGGCGAATGCCTGTAGTCCCAGCTACTTGGGAGGCTGAGGCAGGAGGATTGCTTGAGCCAGGAGTTTGAGGTTGCTGTGAGCTAGGCTGACGCCACGGCACTCACTCTAGCCTGGGCAACAAAGCGAGACTCTGTCTCAAAAAAAAAAAAAAAAAAAAAAAAAAAAAAACTAAGCGAACTCTAGGAGAATCCATCCCTATCACCAAAAGTCCCAATTTTGAAAGCAGGAAGGGAGAATCGTAAGATAATTAAGCTAAGCATGCAGCAGGCTGCACGAGTTCTGATCAGGTGGCGATACAGGAGTATATCTCTCATCCTTGTTTTATACCAATATCCTCATGACACATTTCTATGCACAACATAACCTACTTCTCTCCAGAGAGCAGCAAAATTAATAAGGAATCTATAGGATGCCCCTGATTCCATCCTCTCCCAAATGGTTGGAGAAGTGGTAAAACTATTTTCTTCATAAATCTACAACAGACATATAAGCAGAAAGTTTACACAAACGGTCTCAGATCATGGAAGACAAAAATGCAAATGAGGGAGTATTTACAGACTCAGATGAATAACCCGGACAAACAAACCACTTTACCTGTCTGCCTTCATCAGAAGGTTAGGTGGTAGCTCAAGGAGCTGGTTGTGTTGCACGTCCAAGACCTCCACTGAGGTTCTCTCTAGCCTTTCAGGTAGCCTTGCCAACTGGTTGTGTCCTGCCAATAGTTTCCGGAGACTGCTATTACAAAATAAGCTGTACAAAAAAGACAAGACAGAAGGCAACTTACTTAGAGCTAATTTGGGGTAAAGTTTGAAAAATGAGTAAGAATAGGAGAATACTTAAAATTAACTCTCCAAAAATCATAAATTCATTCAGAGCAACTACAAATTCATTTTAAGATAAGTTCAAACCTACAGCTATTTATGTTTCAATACTTTCTATACTTTAAGAAAAAAGGGAAAAGGAGAAACTATGAAAAGAAATATTGAGCAAAGAAGCTCTACATAGCAAAAAAGGTTTCATAAAAGTAGCCACTGAAGAGATCGGTTTAATCTTACTCAATTCACAAGGCAAGCTTTTAAAGGTTGTATGCTTCTTCAAGGTAGCGTTTGTGTCTTCTATTGAACTAGAATGCTGGGTGTTTTATTGGCAACAGATTCTGAATAAACATAGCTGAGCAATCTTTACTTAGAGGATCCGTATTAAATAAAAGATTCTTCTATTCAACTAAACTTTTACAAATGTCAACTGAGAAAATGTTACATTTTCCTTCAGCTGCATTTCACAATCAAAACTGTTTCTCCCTTGCCTCACTTCTCTGGCTGGTATTTTTATTTTCACTTTAGTTTAATGCTAGACCAAGGTAGAGATTCTCTCCTAAAGAAAGTAGAATGCATTTAATCCACTACCTTCTTAGGAGTCTGATATAGCCATTTGGAAGCTTGGCTGTGTTTCTTCTAAAGGTTATCAGAACTGTCACAAATGATGAATACTTGTTAATCTAATGTAAATCTGCATTATGACCACTTCAGACATCTTCAAGAGTTGCAGAGAATAAGACAGGCCCTAGGTTTAAACAGACATCTGGGAGCTGTGGGAAAGCAAGGTTATAATTACATCATGATCACTTTAGAATAAGAATTCATGGCTGGGCACAGTGGCTCCCGCCTGTAGTCCTAGCACTATGGGAGGCCAAGGGTCGGATTGCTTGAGGCCAGGAGTTTGAGACCAGCCTGAGAAAGAGTGAGATCCTGTCTCCAGAAAAAATTAGCCTGGTGTGATGGTGTGTGACTGAGGGCAGGAGAATCGCTTGAGGTTGTGGTGAGCTATGATGATGCCATTGGACTCTAGCTGGGGTAACAGAGTAAGACTCTTTCTCAAAAAAGAAAAAATAATAATGATTAATTAAAATTAAATAAATAAATAAATAAATAAATAAATAAATAAATAAAGGAAGAATTCTTGTTATAGTGTCATCCATTTCCTGTTTTCCACCATTCTGACCCCTCATTTACTGATGCTCGCAATTATTTTTTAGTTAACTAATTTAATTTTTAACTAACAAAAAGTTTACATATATTTCTGGTGTACATCATGATGTTTTGCTATATGTATACACTATGAAATGGCTAAATCAAGTCAATTAATATATGTATTATCTCACATACCTATCTTTTTTATAGTAAGAACATTTAAAATCTACTCTCTTAGCAATTTTCAAGAGTTCAATGCATTATTATTAACTATAATCACAATGTTTTAGACCTCTTGAATTATTCCTCCTGTCTAATTGAAACTTTGTATCTTCTGACTTATAATCGTTAAAAATCACCATACCTTATGGCATAACTTTACTTTAAATATCAGATCTAGATTCTTTGCTCATGAAGATGTTAGCTAACAACTTGTCTCAACCCTGTGACACCACAGACCACAATTAAAGGTATCTGGCTTTGTAGGTTTAGATATCAGTGTGACAAGACAGATGATCCAGGCCAATCAGATTATCCTCACATTCACAGTTATCCCAGGGGAGTCTCTGAAATGGTCACTTCAAACCAATAATTCAGCATTTGGTTCATTTTATATCTATCTATCTATCTATCTATCTATCTATCTATCTATCTATCTATCTATCTATCTATCTATCTATCCATCCATCCATCCATCCATCCATCCATCTATCCATCCACACACACACACACATATGTATAATTTATCATATATATTATTTATCCTTTTACACATAAAAAACTGAAAGACAGTTGAAAAATTCTTATTCTTGATTTTTCCAAATAAAAAAGTAGATTTGATCAACTGCAGGATGAGTATTAAATGCTAATTATAGGATTTAGTTAAATTCTTTTGAATACTGTTTAAGCATAAAAATACTTTCTTTCCCTTTTAATATATTTCCACTTCTAAATAATAATTTCTATTTTGCCAAACTCCTCATAAACCACTTAGGTAAACACAGTCTGAATATTAAATCAATTCTAATGAATCACTGTCTTGCCTAAATGTTATTAATACATCAACAATAGGGCTCATACAAAATTTGCAACTGAATACCACCATAAACCAGAAAACAATACACATTCTTTTTGTCCCATGAGCTAAAACACACACACACAAACACACACATACACATGGTTTAAATTCTTTGACAATAGAGCATTTGGGATTTGTTGTGAATAAGCATTTGTTTAGGTCCCCCAAAAGCCTATACTGATATAAAGCAAATCTAAGATTAACAAATTTGGGGAAAAATTGGATAAAATATCATATCTTGTATTTACTGTTTATTTACATATATACACAAATACATTAAAAATGTCTTTGTTTTACCCTACAGCAAGAGAGGCCTTAGGCACCTATGTGATATCTGTTGGATTGAAGGGCTGGATAGGGAAAGAGAAGAAAGAAAATAGGAGGAAAGATATGGTAAGAAATTTTTTCAACAAGCTATTTTTTCCCCACCAGTAGTAGCCTGTTTTCATCTTTGCTGTTCCTCTTTTAACAGGATCATACATACTCTTGACCCTCAGCACTGAGCCACCTAAATGCTCAGTCAACATAATACTTGAGGGCAGAGAGCATTTTCAAATGGATCAAATTTACAGGTATAATGTATGGCTGAGGAACAAAGCAAAATTAGCTGAGCTTTTCAGGGACTGAAAATATAACTCAGATTTCTTTTATGGGAGCTATGTTATAATACATTGTTATCGAACAGAAATATAATGCAAGCCACATATGTAGTTTTAAATTTTCTTAAGAGCCACACATAAAGTAAAAAGAAACAAGTAAATTAATGTTTAGTGTGTATTTTACTTGACCCCAAATATATCCAAAATATTAACATGCAATTAATATATACTATTATTAATATTTCGTATCCAATGTATACTTTACACTTGCAGTACTTCTCAATTAGGACTAGTCACTTTTCGGGTGCTCACTAGTCATGTGGCTAATGGGTAGGAGCTACGATATTGGACAGTCCAACTCCAACATATTTACTAGGTTTATTAAGCATGTATATTTCACCATCCTTGTTCTTTACAAGAAAACAGAGGAATACTGATGACATACCTTTAAAGAGTGTGTGCTTGAAGTAAAAGTTTACTCCACAATGGTGACACACTTTTATAATATTTTCACTGCTATTTTTGACGACAGTTTAAAACAGCTAACTTCCTCTGTTTGGTGATTGGCTAAGAACAGTGGCAATAACTAGACCTGATCTGTGGCAGGCATTAGTCACAAGTGGCTATTTAAATTTAAGTTAATTAAAATTAAATAAATAAATCAGTTCCTCAGTAACACTAGCCACATTTCAAGTGCTTAACAGCCCCATGTGCCTTGTGGATACTCTATTGGGCAGCACAGATATCAGAGAAAGTTCTAAAAGACAGCACTGACTAGACTACTTTTTTAGTTATTAATTACATGGCTAGTCACTAACAGTTCAATAATATTTGGACCACAATTAGTCAACTTGAAAATATTTCTCTGTATTTATGGGCACTAGTTGTCATCACATGGCTGTTTTGCAAATCTCGCCACTAAAGTGAAAATTATGAAATAAAAATAATAACACATTTGAGAGAGAGAAGGAAAGAGAAGTTCTTGAAACTTTTACTCCAAATTTCACACCAAGAAAAAGATAATCTAATTTGCCCCTTCTACATTTAATGATCTAACAATCTTTTGTTTTGCTCAAAGTTATATTCTATATAAACAAAACAAACAAACAAAATATATATATATATATATATATATATATATGAAACAAAAGTTATTTCTGGGTAAGGTAGACATATTAAGTCAATGGATAGAAGTGGAAGATTCTGAAATAATTAAGGTCCCAGAGGCAGGCTAATTATATTGTTTGCTGAATCACTGAACACTTCTCTTAGCTTCTTGAAAAATTTCTACCAAGCATCATTTTCTGCATGGCTTTAAAAAGTCAGACTGAGAGTCGAAACCTGACTCTACTCACTGCATGAAGAAAGTATGTAACTTGAAGACATCGCATGGGGTAAAAACACCAAATAAGGTTTTAAAACAAACTCTTAAGGGTTTATAATAACAAGTTAAACACTGAATCAGCAATTTTTTTTCTTATTGCTCATTTGTTTTGAGATTCTTTCACTTGATCTGTACTTACCGGGCGGGAAGTTCACATATTTCATTATGGCCAATATCCAAAACTTCTAACTTTCGGCTCTCACATACCCACTCAGGCACATTTTCTAAGCGGTTCCTAAATATAATAACATAAAATTAATTTTCTGATTGAACTTGGCCTCAAATATAGTTCTAAACTAAAAATAATTAACAAAAAATAAATAAAAATTTAAATGAAATACCAAAGTACAGTGAGTATGAATCAAAATCATATGTGCATTCACTTTACTCTAGAATCAAGATGAATTGTGAAAGGGAGAAGCAGGAAAGAAAAAGTAAGAAAGGACATGGTTACATCATCTGTATCATCTCAAGTCTAAAAATAACTCTAAGCTAGGCACAGTGGCTCACACTCATAATCCTAGCACTTTGACAGGTGAGGCAGGACGATCGCTTGAGGCCAGGAGTTCAAGACCAGCCTGAACAACATAGTGAGACCCTGTCTCTACAAAAACAATTTTTTAATTAGCCAGGTATGGTGGCATATGCCTACAGTTCTCAGCTACTCAGGAAGTTGAGGTGGGAGGTCACTTAAGGTCAGGAGTTTGAGGTTGCAGTGAGCTGTGATCATGCCACTGCACTCCAGCCTGGGCAATATAGCGAGACCTTGTCTCAAAATAAATAAATAAATAAAAATAAAAAATACATAAAAATATTTTTAAAAGGTCAAGTTCCCAAACTTACTTTCCTATAAATTCTATAGATCCATGTCAATTTTAGGGAGAGGATGTCATATTGGAAATAAAAACACATACACTTCCATTAAGTCAATGACTCAAATGATGTAATGGTTTTATTTTCAAATGTACATTTTAACCCTTAACATTAAAATACTTCCCAGTTCCAGTTGGCATCATGAAAACATAGTCATGGATAACTGGGAAGAGTGAGAAGCGGTTTTAAAATGGTACCAGTGAAAAAGTGCACTGACAGTTAAGACTCAGATTTAATTACTTCAAAACATTTACTTGGGTATTAGACAGTAATTATATTTACTAGAGACAAGTGAACTAAACTAATGTTGATTTTATTAAATGAACTGACAATTACTTAAACACATCTACTCTATTTGGATGTGACCCTAGTCAGACATGGTTAGCCTTTTACCTTCTTTTTTAAATATATTAAGTGACCAGGCACAAGGAATCTAAAATGGTATGTATACTATAACTCTTTATATACAGATAAAAATTCTATGAAAATATGATGCTTGGGACAAGAGCTATAAGATATTAAATAAAAAACAAAAATAGTTGTAATGTGTATACTTGAAATACATCTGTTCAAGATATTTATACGCACACATGAATGCATACCCTATTCCTATACTGTTTCTATTTAAAAGGTAAAAATAACAATATCCAGGGCTAATAGGAAAAAACAGTAAACTAATCAAGCAATGTCTGACTTCAAGTTCATTAAATAAAACTGTCTGATATATGTATTTAGTAGAAAATGCATGAAGCACTACTCAAAGGGTTTTATAATGATAAACTTATAATAAAATTTTAAGAATTCTCCCAATAGCTGACACATTCTTATATAATTATATTATTAAAATAGCCAAGTCTGTGTACTTCATGACAAAAGGTAAATTTTTTTATATGACAAACCTACATGACTATTGTGATTACAAAGTATGGTGGTTGTTAACAAACTATCAGAATTTATACACTGATACAAGTTAACAGTTATCACCTGACTGGGCCACAGACTCCCATGTACTGAGAAAATTTTATGTATTTCCTTTGGAATTATCTTGAGTTCCAATTTTAAAATTCAACATTAAAAATTTTAAAGTTTAATTTATACAAATATATGCTGTAGACAGAGTCACATCTTTGTGCCTTCAGGAAAAAGTCTATCATAGTATTTGTATGAACTGGAATAAGTATGATATACTGCAGAAGCAAATTTGCATAAAGGGTAAGATGGTCAGCCTATTCAAAAAGGAGCTAAGAAAACTGAACAGGTTGTACAGAATTCCTATTTTGTATTGCTATCTTCTAAGAATTCTTACCAAGGAGATACAGGTACAAAATAATAAAGGGGAGGAGGAATTAAAAGAAATAGCACTTAAAAAAATAAAATTAATATCATTTTAGGGAAAGACACAAAGCCCTGGTTAATATAATTAAAGTAACTGAGGGACTACTGGACCTTCAATTCATATAACCCTCAACTCACTAATCTTTCAAGTCCAAACTTGGTGTTCAAATTGAGACACACTGACACCTTCCTTGGTGTTTTGGTCTGAACTACAGAACACAAATGCATTTTAAGTGAAAGATACTTGTATACATTTTTAGAGGATAAGTAAAAACTATTAAATTTAATTATTATTTACCTTCAAAATATAAAAAAGTGATTATACATAAGTTCAGAGAGACTTATCTAAATAATTTTCAAGTAGACTCTAGAGTGCTCTAAGACTTGACTTCTTACCTTGACACATCCATGTAGGACAAATAATTTGGAACTGGGTAAACATCAAGTTGAACAAGTTCTAGGAGGGAAAAAAACCCACAAAAACATCACTATCCCAATGATACAAAGACTCTTTTTGTATGTCAAATATCATTACTGTGCTTTATTCTCCATTGTTTGTTTAGTTTAGGAAGTACAATACATCCATTTGTTTAACTTTGAAACTACAGGAAAGTAAAAAACTTTCAATTTAATCACAAGATCTTACTCAGAGATTGAAATAAATCACTCATTCTACCTTCCTACCTCTTTCCATTTCCTGTGGTTCTCCTCTTATGTTATGCATGCTAAATTATACCCAGAAGATTAACTGAATAAATGCTCTAACACTCACCAAATGCATCTTGTCTTTTATCTTCATCACTCTACTGAAACAGCACTCTGGAGGGTCACAAATGACTTTCTACTCACATCTGAAACTCCTTCTCAAAATCTTTTGAAATATGACCCCATTGCCCAGCTAGGGCTTTGTTTCTTGGACAGAGTAGATTCTAAATGTCCTTCTGCTTCTCTAAACACTTACCAAGTAATTCACATGTTCAGTTCCTACCTAGTTGACCACTCTGGCCCCAGTTAACTGTGAGGGTTTGTAAGACGACTTTTGGTACCAGGTCTCTCTGCCCTTTCAGTTGCCTTACTTCCCTGGTTTCAGGTATCATGTCTGAGCAGAGGAGTCTCAAATCAACACCTATAGCTCTGACTACAAGTTCCCATTCGCTCACATGGAAGCCCATCACAATAACTTAGATTAGCAGAGTGGTGAATTACCTCACTTTTCTACCATTAATGCATTCTGTGCAATACTTTTAAATTAACAGTCTTACAGAATCATTTCTCTCATGTCTCCTCCACTTAAGAATCTCTACTGCTTCTCTATAGCTTACTGTACTAAGTTCAGTGCTTCACTTCACCATCAGATCCCAACACATGCATCCCATAATTACTTCCATGAGTTCAGAATTCCCTGTCTTCTCCCAAATGCTGAACAAGCCACATTCAGATCTTTTACTCCCATTTTGTTGTCACTGGCTATCAAAATCCTATAACCCTCTGGTGTTCAGCAAACCGATTACACTAGATCGTGTGCTTATTTGAGGTTTGGCTTGTTTTTCTAATGAGATGACAGTAAGCACATTAAAAAAAAATCTCTTATCTTTCAGAAATCATGAGCTACACTATGCATACTACACATATATTTTATACAAGTGCTTGATAAACATTTGTTCAAATAGTTGTAACTATTTGTTCTCATTCAGTTTTCTGATTATATGAGATTGAAATCTTCACCTTAGCACACATATGTCCATATGATCTTTTCTTTTTTGGAACTACCATGATTTTCAAATTCTAAGAGATATTACTGAATGATTAGGACTCTTGCTTTATGATGTAGGTATATAATTCAGGTTTACTTCAGGTGAGGTCTTTGTTGGTGGAACATGAAACTGGTAATATGGGACATCCCAAAACGGGATTTTCTTTCATCCTCCAGTATTAAGTCAAGGTTCTGGATTTACTATCTTACTGTAACAAGGTAGCCCACTTTCCCCCATTCCCTTTAAGCAAAGGGACCAAAGCAAAAGTGGGAATAACTTAACTAAATATCACAATATGAGAAAAAAAAATAGTAACAATAAAATTTTCTTCTTGATTCCTTTAAATACTAAATTGGCATTCTTCTTTTATAACTTTTATCTTAGCAAAATTTGACACTTATTTTGCTAACTAAATGGGGAAAGAAAAATCAGAGAGGCAGACTTGATGCTGCTGGGTAAATTCTTGGAACCAAAAGAGAAACTTCGATGTGATCTATGTTACATACCATTAGAAGAGGCATAGAGTGCTTTTAGAAAATAGCCACAGATGTTCAATGTCACTAGTTGATTCCTTTCACAGTGTAAAACTTCAATGTTGTTGAAAATCATAGCATCTAGATCACCAAGTTTATTGTCTCTCAGGTCAAGCTGAGTGACATGCTGCAGAAAGTCCACTTCATCTGCTATTAGCTTCCTAATTACATTCAATCTTGAGGGGAAAGAACACAAATAGAGACTACAGTTAAGTCCAGTGCTATAAATAAATGGCCTTTCCTTTAAAAACAAACAACAACAAAACCCCTCCACTTTTCATTACAAAGCCAACAAAGTGCCAAGATCATGCGCTTGATTAGAAGAGAATTAATACCAGGATGTAGTATAGGAAAAAGCCAAAGTTTCTCTGTAGTGAATTTCTGCCCTTTAAAAAAAGAAAATAAAACTATGGTAAATGAATTTTTAAGAGCAATATCATAAAGCTACTGAAACACAAGGATGAGTGACAGCAAAGAGCCAGGCCTTGTCACATGCAAGCACAGCATATGGCCTCTTCAAATGTCCCTAAGACGATGTGTTTTTGGCTACTTCTCTTTTTTTATTCCAGGTTGTAGGATTAAAAAACTGGCCCCAACCCAGCAATTTGCCTATTTCCAAATGCTCACTAAATTACTAGAATGTGCACACAGAATAAAAAAGAAAAAACAAATCTCATCTTGAATACAACAGGCTGCATAAATTTTAAAAATGTCTCATCTTCTTCCCAATCTACACTTTAAATAACCTTCAAAAGGCATCATCTTCATTTGAAATAACCACAAAAACACACAATTTCATTGTATTAATACTAAAATAATGAAAGTGTTGGTTTAATGAAGAGAAAAAAGAAAGCCTATAATGAAAGAAACGTTAACATTTGGCTTAAATTGCCAACTCTCACCATAATTCAAATATCAAGTTTTTAGCCTCACACAGTAATTTACCTATTTAGGATGAACTGTATTATTATTATTGTTATTTATAAAATTGACTGATAAAATAATATGCATTTATAGTGTACATGATGTTTTGAAGTCTATATATATTGTGGATTGAATAAATCTAGCTAATTAACATGTGCATTATCTCACAGAATTATCATTTTTGTGCTAAGAGTGCTTTACTTCCATTCTCTTAGTGTTTTCAAGAAAACGATCTACTTATTGTTAACTATACTCACCATGTTGTATTAGGATGAACATTTTAAGGAGCAAAATGTGGTTAAAATTCCCTTTCAATAGTCCCCTCAGTTAACACAGCTATTTTGTTCACATTATCAATATTCACTGAGTGGCTCAGATGTGTGAGGAAGTATCATGTCCTAGCCCCAGTTGGCAGCCCAACCTTTGCATATAAGACTATGAGCAAGTCAACCTAACACCTGAGTCTAATTTTAATCTGTGAAATAAGGACAACACCTTCCTTGTCCTGCGAAGCAGTTGGGAAGATCAAATAAGTAATATGTGATGGCATTTTGTAAACTGTGAAGGGCCATGGTGATGATGGTGATGACAACAACCTGTGGCCTTGTGGCAGTAAGAGAGGAATAAAACAAGGTGTTTGGCAACAGATTTCAAAATTTAGTGAGGAGACTCAGACATGTTTTAAACAATATAAGGACTACAAGTATGTGATAAGTGCCATAAATGATGTATAAAATATAGAGAATGGTCAAAAAAGATCCTAAGAAAAAGGAAGCGTCTCATCTGAATCCCAAGAGTAGTGAGAATCTAACAGTTGTAAATGGGAGAAGACAAGTAGACCAGGAGGAAGTGGCAGAACGGCATCTGCACTGAAGAGCAGAGAGTACAAGGTGACCTCGTGCCTGCATGCACAGGTTCCTCAGGAACATAGGGGATGTGAGAGGAGAGACTATGCGGCTAGGAAGATGGGGCAGTCAATAATATTTATCAAGGACTGTGCCTACCACCTGCTAACACTGGGGCTCAAGGATAACTAAGAGCAGTGCCTAAATTATCTCTGGTGAAGGACCTATTTTCTAAGCTTGTCATTCATCAGAGGCTGGTTCACAGCCCCACTGCACACGACCAGTACCTAGCTCACACCCTCACACCACATGCAACTCACTGTGCAAGTCTGACAACACCTGAACTAGTGAATCCCTGTACAATGAGATGAGTCTACTTATAATCACTTCGATGCTGTGACAATGTCAAATCAGTATAAGTTTCTTAAAATATTAGTCTCAAATTCTATACACATCTCATCGTGGAAAAGTGGCAAATAGTTGGTTTGCCAGCACGGGCTAGAGCACTGCACTTGAGCAGCTCTGAGATCCCCTCATCCTCAAGGGACTCACAGCCTAGTGAGCTAAAGCCAAACATGAGTTTGAAGCCTCAAACTAGAGAACCGGAGGCTCTGAGCAAGGCTGTGCTTGCCTGAGAGGCTGTACAATGGAGGCAACAGTCACAGTGAGAAGAAAAAGGGACATGAGGGAAATGAGTGTAAAAGAAGAACAGATAGACTCTGATGGAAGACAAGAAACAGGGCCAAAAGGTTTGTCTGGGAAACCAACGAGGTGGTGCTGTTCTCAGCAGAAACAGGAATCCAGGGGAAAGAACTGGTTGAGTAAAAAAAGACAGAGAACTCTGTTTCACATGTACTTGGTTAAATGTGTCAATAAGGCAAACCAAGGAGAAATGATCCAGCTGGCAGCTGAAGTGAAACTGGTCCCAAGAAGAGAAGGCTTAGGGAAAGATCAAGGGATTGTTTAACATCGAGACGAAAAGTGAAAGATGATGCGAGAATACATGCAACTACCAAGCGAGAAGATGTGGATGGAAAGAGAAGTAAGCGAGGGGAGAGATGAGGCCGAGGGTAACAGCCATGTTACAGGAGGTGGAGGCGGAGGAATTATGGGTGATGCCATAAAGGAAATAATATCAGACTCAAAGAACTTGTGTGTGTGTGTGTGTGTGTGTGTGTGTGTGTGTGTGTGTGTGTGTGTGTGTGTATAAAAGAATAAGATTAAAAGAAAAATGATCACTTAATCTAATGCAACATTTCTATTTAAAGGAATAAAACACCCAATAAAATTAGCCTTTTGCTTAGAGAAACTAAGTGAAACTCCCCTTACATGTCTCCATTAGCTTCAACTTAAAGTATTAAGGCAGAATCAGAGCAAAATCTGATCTGGTTTTTTCCTTCTGCGCCTCAGGAAGGAAGCAGTTATCTATCTACTCACTGTCATTCAACAGTTACAGAGTGTCCAGTGTCTATTATGGCATTTAAATATCTTGTAGGTGATGTCATTAAAGAGACTCAAGCTAGAACTAGAAATCTGAAGAACTTATAAAGCTCTTACTAAGAATCATTACTTTTGGACATATTGGACTGATCTTATTTGTAAGCTAACTCAGATCAAGAAAAGTATCTTCTTACAGTACCAGGTAACTCAAAAATCATCTCATGCTTGTTACCTAAGGTCAATGCAAACCATTGTCCTTGGCTCTAACAAAGTTATACCACTAGGTGGCTGAATAAAAAGGGCCTAAATTCTGGAACATAAGAGTTTGCTAAGATTTCTTAGTGATTCATAAGCAAATATGGCTAATAATTTGGAAAGAAAATTAATATGACAAAATGGTTAGTTCCCTATCTTGTTACATCCAAAAAGTTCTCAAAGTCAAATAAATTGTAACCTTCTGTACTCTCCAAATTAAGAACTCTGGAATTGCAAACTGCTAACATTTCCCCAGGTGGGACAGGTCTGATTCCTTTAGTCTAAGGAACGGTGAAGCCAAACAATTCTTTGAGGGACTGAATTGTATGGGCTTCTAGGCCAAACCATATGAATGGAGAACAGGGAGCCAAAGATGATGCTACTTTATGCTGATGAAACTGAGCAAGCCTGAGTAAGGGTCTGGGGTTATCAAGAGAGGAAAGTGGATATAACACAAGGAAAGAACCACCTTTTAACAAAGAGAAAGAGAGAAAGGAGTAAAGATGCCAGGAATGACAGCTGAGCAGGTTCCACAAACACAGAAGAGTCCTCAATCAGGTAAGAGTACCAAAACATACCACTTGGTGGGAGTGCTAGCGAATTTAATTTTCTCCACAACTCTGTGAATTAAGTTCTATTATTAGCCACAATTTAGAGATGCAAACACAGAGGCATGGAAACATTAAATATATTGCCCAAAATTTAACTTGGCTAGTATGTGGTCATCAATCCTGCCAATTGGGGGAATTATTAATGGTTTGGTTGAAAAAGTATCATACAGGGCAAGTCAGTATCAAGGCTAGCCCTATATGTTGCTTTGCAGGAACTCAAGCCCATGAAAGGCTATTATTTTTCCTTAAAATAGAGAAACTTAGAACAGCTTGCTCCTGTGCACTTGTTCTCTGTATATTAGAAACTGAAGCTGAACCTTACCAAGGGCAGACTGCTGAGGATCTAACATGTAGCAAGGACTGTGCTAGTGGTTTCCAGTTAGGGTTTAATGTGATCAGGATTCAGAATGCAGGTTCCTTGTTTTTGCAAGGGTGAGAGTGGAGGTTCTAGCCAAATTTTGGTATTATGGGAGATTATGAATTTCATATTTTTGTAAATGAATGGTAAACTAAGGCAGAGTTACCGGATAAAGAGAGGAAATTAAAATAAATAAGTAAAATAAATTTAACTTAATGGATACATTATCTTAAGGAAGCCAAGGAAGAAAAAAAAATTAAGAAAAGGGACATGATCACTGACGTCAAATGCCTCAGATAAGCCACAGAAAAGAAGGACTAAGAGAGAAAAATATTCACTTTGTTCTCAATGATATGATTTTCATCCACCATAAATAGCCCTCCCACTCAGTGGCCGTATCTATTATCATATAAAACTGGGTTCAAATTTGCAAAGGGGTAGGACCCTCAGGACACCAAAATCTCACCAAAAGTGATATAACACCAATCCCCCAAATATAAACCAACCACTCAAATGAGATATATTTCTCAAAAATGGATACCTTAGGTCCACATGTTTAATGTGAGGCATTCTTCTTAAAGCCTGTAGCCTAAGCGTCTCCATACAGTTTCCAGACATACAAAGTTTATCCATAGCAGTTAATTTCTCCAATACCTCCGGAATGTCAGTAAATTCATTGAAAGAAAGACCAAGATAACTAAGCTGGTGCATGTTCTCCAGCTCAGCAGGAAGGGACTGGAGGAAGTTTCCATCCAACAAAAATGTCTGTAAACTATTAAAGAAAACATAAGAATCAGAAAGAATGTATAAATTTCATATCTTTATTATCAACATACAAGTTCCATAAGCATAGATCATATTACTAGAAAATGTACTACTCTTTGCAAAATGCATAAGGGCAGAGCCCGAGGCGATAATGGACCAGAGACAAATTACCAGAGATAGGCATCTTAATCTTTTACTGAAAATGAGAGTTATGACCAATTTTCCCAACTTCGAAAGGCACAAATGGGAACAATGTGAACTGTGGTGTGAATCAGCCCAAATACCTATCTTTCCTTGCTATTTCTTAAAATTAATTTCTAAGTCTTAGAATTCAATATAACTCAGAAAATGAGAAAGTAACACCCTCCCCCATGTTTAGATATAGGCATCCATAGGAATTCCGCTCTAAACAAGGATATTTTAACTTTTTACAAGATTCTAAAGACTATAAACCTAATAAATGAACTCTCCACACCAACCACACAGTGCCTAATTTCCTGATTTGGGGCCAAGCCTTACATGACCAACAGAACAGGTTAACTAATCTCATGTGCTATGACCCTTATGCAGTTTCCCTGGGCTTTCTGGACACTCCCGCCAGTGGGGTTTAAAGTACGCACTTGTGCATAGCTCCAACAGCTGCTGGGACTGCTCGCAGGGCATTGCAGGACACATTCAGCTCCACCAGGGTTGGAATACTGCAGACTGCTAATGGGAAGTCCCCTAAATGATTATTGGAAAGGTTAAGACTCTTCAATTTGGTGAACCTATTACAATAAAAAAAAGGAAAAAAGACAAATGTCATAGATGCAAACATCACATAATTTTAGCATAGCCTTATAATCTAGCCTGACTCCCAAAATCAACTGTAGAGGAAATGGAGCCCTCAGAGGTTAAGGACAGCACAGCAGAGCTGGAATGCACATCTTCTGACCCTGACCGTTAAGGCCAGGGTTTTACCTAAAATGTAAACATTGTATTTAAAAACAAACTTGTGACTCTTAACCCTTTGCACTCAGATGTCGAGTGTGACTCAACACGGTTAGCAAAAATTATAAAGATTAAAATTACTCTTTGAATGTATCAATAATTTGAAATATAAAAAAATCCAAATACTCCAGTTTTTTATTCTACTGCTGCACTTTGTAAAATCTAGGATATTTAAAAAACTAAATCCTGAGTAGAATAAAGGAATCGAGAAAAAAGCAAGCGAGTGCAAAGGGTTAAATAAGGTTGACTATTTGAGGAAGTGAGTTCTGCTGGAGTAAGTTTTTTAACTATATCTCAGCTTAATTAACACACATGTACATGGTCCGGGTGAGGGAGGGCTGGAGCTAGCCCTTCTGGATTCTGTGTTGTTCCAAACAAGTCAAAAACCCAAAATGGAATAAAAACTCAACAATTTATCAAAACGACACTCTAAGAGAACCAGGACTTTGTTCCAAATTTAAAAACCAATTATCATTCCTCAATCTCAATACAACACTTGATAATGCTGGCCACGTACCCCTCCTTGAAAAGCTTTTCTCATTTCAGTTTAACAGCATTTTCCTCATGTGATCTCTTTCTAACTCTCTTAAATCCTCTTCTCCTGTATTACCTTCTTTTCTCTTCTTCATCTCCTGTTCTTCACTCCTAATTGAAGTACTCCTCACAGATAAGTTGACAGTTTCACTTTCTCTATACATTGTCTTCCTTGGAAATCTTTTTACTGCTATGTGAACTCTCTCAATCCTATCACACGCCAGCTCCTCTCCAGATCTGCCCTACAACATTTCCAGCCCCAAATTGAACTTACCATCTTTATTCCGAACCAGCACTTCCTCCTGTTCTATTTTTGTTGATGGCTCTTTTATTTCATTTTCTCAGTTGCCCAAGCAACTAAAGCATGAAAGAAGCTATCTTTATTTTTTTTTTTTACTTTACTTTTTTATTTCTCTGTGTACTCTTACATTGGATCCACTGCCGACCTCTATACCATTTCTAGATAAGAATCAGATCAGTGGCTGCATTACGCTAATTCTTTTAAAAATTGTCCTAATACTAGGTAGTACATACTCGCCTAGAACTAATGCACACAACCTAAAAATAAATACAATTCAACTCAATCCAATCCAACATGATAATTTTAAAGAAATTATCATGTGACCTACTTGTCAAATTCTATAATAAAAAAGTTAAGCTTTATTCTAAATAGACAGATAAAAGTTCATTCTAAACAGAGAGATGACAATGTACCTATTTGACAGCTTAAAAGTGTTACTTTGATACCTGTTTTCTTGGATGGCTGCTTAAGAGTCCTCAATTTTTGAGAGGGTAAATGAGTCCTAAAATAGGATTGCCTGATAAAACACAGGACATCCAGTTAAATTTGGATTTCAAATAAACAATAAATGTTTAGTATGAGTATGTCCCAAATATTGCATGGGACATATTTATACTAAAAATTAATTATTTATATGAAATCCAAATTGAACTGGTGCTCATTTTTCCTTCTACTAAATCTGGCAACTCTATCTGAGATAAAATGTTTGTTGTAGTCATCACAGATGAAACTGCTGTTCTAGTCCAAACAAAAACAGCATCCTACTATTCTAGATACTTTCACTTATTTGATAGAACAGGCCACAGTTTTTAAATTTACATGCAATTAAATTGAATTTTAAAAGAAAGTTCCTCTAGGAGGGAAAATGTTCCACTAGACATTATCCAACACAATACAGTACACAGACTTTTCAGACAGTGGGGAAATGGACGGATTTCAGAACCAGTAATTACTCATGATGGGAAACAGAAATATTGGCTTTTGGGAAAGTATAAGTCAATAACAGAGGGTGGGGGAGGTATAATTCATCTGTGCAAACAAATTTACTAGGACCATGTCACTCCTGAGGACAAAGGAAAGCAGAAGCAAGTAGAATGAGTAAAACGCAGTTGACAAACTTAAATGGAAGAGGGGGAAAAAAACCTCTTAACAGGTATTTCCCATTTGTTTTATATATATACAAACACTTTGTATTTTAAAGTGTCCACCAATTCTAAATATAAAGACAAAGCGATATGATTATTTTCTACATCAACTCAATGATAAAACACTACCAGATAGACATAAAGAGACCTGCTCTCAGTCTCCGGGCCAAGTGTGCACATAGAACGAGGAGTTAGCACCCTTTCCCTGGAGCAGCAAGGCCTGGTAGGAAACCACTAGCCCCACCTCAAACTGGATAGTCCAGAACCAGATGTTCTCTAAATATAAAATACAGACTAGATTTCAAAGACTTAATACAAAAAAAAGAACATAAACTATCTCATACATTTTTAGAACTAGTAATAATTTTGATATACTAGATTAAATAAAATACATTATTAAAATTAACTGCATGGCTTGCATTATATTGCTACTGGAAAAGTACTCTCTCCATCCTAAGAGTAATTAGGACCCTGGAATACCCTACCCAATTGATGACAACCCTGTTTGCAGAGCTTGTATGACCCGTTCCCTGGGTTCATCCTCCCACTGATGTGCACCCATAGGCCCTAGGGTGGGCGGAGATTGGACCTGGGGGCCGCAGTGTCCATAGCCTTGCAAGGTGAGGAATGGAGCTGGAGATGGGAAGAGAACAGCAGGGGCTGCTGGCCTAGCTCTGCCCAAGCTGCCATATTCAGCGCGGAATCCCAAGGATTCCGAAGATTTTAAATTTGAATCTATGTTTCCAGGACATTACATGGTATGTGGGTCTCCATTTATACCCTTACCCTAGACCTGTAATTTTAAGACCTGATATGATTTGCAAGTATCCACAATGTCTCCCTCCTTCTTGCCATGTTCTTCACTCCCCTCACATTCCTCCCCATGCAGCCAATCTGCCAACTCCTCCCAGAGAAGAAAACAGTGTTCAGCAGAGACTTGTTTACCAAAGAAAGTATGGACTGCTTCTGAGAACCTGAGTTCTGGATCAGAACACATCACTCAACATTAAATTCATCTGTTTTGGGAACTCTAAACCTTAGTGCTCTTAGAGTTCTACTTTTTCTTTTACAGATATGGAAAACAGTCAGATTATAGGCATTTGCAGATGGAAAAAAAAAAAAAAACTCTTTCAGAAAAAGAGAGAGAGATGGTCCACATAAAATTCACTTCCCTTTGGTACTTAAAATAGGTGAAACAGATACCTGGAGACAATGTCTAAGTTATGAGAGACATGAGATCAAAATGTTGAGTGGCTGGATGACCTTTCCACACTTTGCCTTCTTTTAAAAGGATGAAGAGGAGAGAGCAAGGTGACAGCACATTATTATGGATGAAAAGACTAGAAATCTGTCTCTATGACAAAATATAAGACTTTTAGCTCTGCCATGGTAATAGGTAAGTCAGACAAATTATGAAATGCGCACAGACCCGGATTCTAAAATAAAATTGGCTGTTTGGGGGAAAAATACATTTGATGAAATATTTTAAACTAATATTTCAGTTCACTCAGGCTACAGATATTTCCTCATAGCTGTCCAATAAGGGTAAGTAGAAGAGCATCAGAGCATCACAGAATTTAAGATTAGTAAAACATATTTTAATGATGACTGTTCTGACTGTAGTGGTCAGATTAGTAATAACAAGGTAATTGTTATTCTAGTTAATGCTTTAGAAGCTGAAAGGACAAGAAACCTACTTTTTTTTTCAAGCATTTCTTGTTATACATGTATATTCACGTATAGCACCAAGACTAAAGAAAATTAGTTAAAGTAGATGCTGTGGTATGAATGTTTGTCTCCCCAAAATTTCTCTCCCACTTAACATCTAATGTGATAGTATTAAGAGGTGGGGCCCTGAGCAGGTGAGATTATATTGAGGAATGAGATGAGTGCCCTTATAAAAGAGGTTGGAGGGAACTGCCTTGCCCTTCTGCCGCCTGAGGATGCAGGGGGAAAGCAGTATCTCTGAAGCAGAGGCTGAGCCCTCACTGGATATCAAAACTGCTGGTGCCCTGAAATTGGAATTCCCAGCCTCTAGGACTATAAGCAATAAATTTCTACAGTTTGCACATTACCCAGTTTAAGGCATATATAACATGTAACATGTTATACATGTAACATGACACACATTACAGTTTTGCATTTAGCAAATCACAATGGCATTGTGGGAGTTTAGACTCAGGTCTGACTTAGTCCAAAGCTCCAAGGCATACTTTTGTTTTTTAATATCAAGCATCACAGAAATGCACAATCAACTAAATATACTTGATAACCTACAGGGACAAAAAAAACCCCTGTAATTGTAATGTGTTTACAAACAAAACTTGAAGTCTTCTTTCAAACCAGGTAACCTACGTTCCATATAACAAAGTATGTGATTGTTTGCCCAGGGTGGGGTTTTGAGGTGGTAGAAAGTCAAAAGGAGGGATAGGGAAAAGATGGTAGAATGGAGCCAATAATATCACCACTCTGCCAAAGTAAGGTATTTCTTTAATTTGTATCTCCTACTGTATTTACATCATAAAACAAAAGTATAGTAACAATGACACTGGATCTAGACACAAAATGTGCCAAACTATCTAGGGGTGTGATCTATTAACATCCCTACCTTTTTCCTTGCTTTCCCCAACTTCACAGTCATAACTAATTAACAGAAAGTGGGAATAGCTCACGCCTTAAAACTGCTATTGAGGGAACAGAGTCATCATTAGTTTGTTCCTGTATTTGTCTAGCTTCCCTTTTAATCTAGACAACACATATTACTGTCTACACTTAGCTGTAAATGGATTTTTTTCTC